CCTTAGGGATGGTTGTGGGAAGACAGGTCCGGCTAAATGATCCGTCTCGCCTCCGACGTCGCTGCTTCGACCGCCGCCTTGGCTGCTTCGACTCCTGCTGGTGCCAGGGCAACCAGTAAGTCATGCACCAGAAAGCACAACAACATAAATTTACTTCTTGTATATTTTATGAATGTGTTTTTGGTTGATTTGCAGGGAGAGTTGAGCACATGGAGGTTATAGAAGAAGGCCCAGCGTCCATGAAGATTCAGATGAGGATAAAGAAAACAAAGTTGAAGTTCAAAAGCCAGTGGCCAATGTACTTAAGGGTCGTAAACCAGCTCCATTACACATCCTAAACCATGTCAAAATGAACAACACCCACAGCCTCAACAAGGGGTTAGGTTGGGAAGTATCAGCCGTGGTTTTCTCGGTTGCAGCGGCAATCTTCAGTACTTATTGGGACCTTATCCACAACTGGGACTCCTGAAGCGGCATTCGAAGAACCGTTGGCTGAGAGACAAACTCCTCATCCCTAACAAAAGCATATACTTTGGTGCCATGGTAAGCATAATGACGGCGTAAATTTTTAATATTTTCCAAGAGATTCCATTTTATTAAATGTTGTAACAATGTTCGTTCATTCAAAAACGCAGATTCTGGATGTTTTGCTGAGATTTGCATGGCTGCAAACAGTGTTCAACTTCAACTTGTTTGATCTGCATAGACAAACCTTGGTGACCATAGTGTCCAGCCTGGAGATCATCCGGAGCGGCATGTGGAATTTCTTACTGGTAGAAAACGAGCATTTGAACAACGTGGGGAAGTACCGTGCATTCAAATCAGTGCCGTTACCTTTCAACTACGATGAAGACGAAGATAAAGATGAATAGGATGTTCAAATTTCAACTATTATTATTTGATTCTTTCTTCTTGTAGATGCTGTTAAATATGGGCATACAGTTTTTTTTAATGTTTAAACTAATACATCTTTATTTTAATTTAATGAATAATTTATATTTAAATACACTTTAAATTATAATCTCTTTAATATTATCATACTAAAAAAATATCAGATTTATATTAATCATTTTACTGCAAATGTAAAGATTTAATTTTGATTCATTTCAAAAACAATATTTTATTTTAAGAAAAACTATTGCTGAATATTCAATTATAACTTCAATTTTTTTTTATCATCTAATAAAAATATTCTTATTTAGTCACTAACATTTTTTAAACTGATAAATCGTCACTAGTCATTAAATATAATTTTTAGACTTCTATTCTTAACGGGCATAATATCATTTTTAATTTTCCTAACATTTTAAAATCCTATCAATTTAACCCTTTTTCTAAATGATTTAATAAATTTAATCCTGGATGTTTACATATTCTATCAATTTATCTCTAATTCTATATAATTCAACAAATTTAACACATCACTTTTGCATAATCTATCAATTTGATCATGATTCAATCATGTATATCAATCTACTAATATTTTATATGATCATTAAGGAGTGGGTTTTAATTGTTTTATTTAGAGAATAAATAAAATTATAAATCAATAGAAAAATATATAATAGAAAAAAATTCCCTCAAAATTTGTTTTTAATTACACTATTAATATGTTCATTCCACATCAACAATAATATTGACTGATCATAACAAGACTTATTTAAAAAATTAAAGCTTTAAGGCTTAAATTGTCAAATAAAAAAACTCTAAAGATATAATTGAAAAAATGATAAACGTTAAGGATTTGTTTTTGTAATTATGCCAAAATTTAAGCAACCAATATATGCATAAGAGCGAGAAAAACTTCACCTAAAAATGAATGGTAAATGTCCTAATTTTGAATTTACCAGAAACCAAAATCAAAGAAGTGAAAGGGGGAATCCAGCTTTGTATCGGTATCTCCTTTTAGGTAAGTATATATTCTGACATGCGAACAATCGGACTGATTTATGGTAAGTATAAAAAACAATGGCTGTTAAGCATCTGTTTATGGTGGCATTCCTTTCTGGATTTGTGTCTTACCAAGTAAAGCTTATTCATGTCAATATTGGCCCTCTGTTTCAGATGCTCATACATTCATGCTTACCACATGCACATGGATAATAGTAGAGGATCAAAAGTGAAGAAGCAGCACTTTAATTAACAGTAAGTTTCATGCTATAGATAGGATTGAACTATGAACAATCACCACTTGAAGACAAAAGTGCAAGAATTTGTGCTCTAGAATTTCATGTGATCATTGCTGATTACAATCCCATACCTGCTTATTCTAGTTTCAGTCGAGTGTAGGGCAAAAGGGAAAATGGTTTACAGTGTTCAAAGATTTCTCATGTTTCTAATCATTTCTGGGCTGTTAGCAGTTGAACCAGACGGAGTTGATGGGTTGACATGTATAGACCTTGCCTTCAGGCATGGTCGAGGAGATGATGAAATGGCTATCGGGAGGAATCAACGTGTTCTTCAGGATGCTGGCATGAAGGCAATGAGACCGGAAGCTGTAAACAACTCATTCGATCTGAATTGGTCAAGCAAACGAAGAGTTCCAAGAGGATCAGATCCCATCCACAACAGGTCTTGATGACAAAGTTGGAGCGCTATAATTTCTTCCAACAAGGAATTTATTGTAATAGATTCGGATTTGAAAGTTCAATTGTATGATCATCTGTAGCTAGCTCTGGTTCATCACTACAAAACTTACATGTTGTAGTACTAGGAGTTAGATTCTCTTTTCCAACCAATCTAATCTCCTCTCCATACTCCGTGCCCCGACATGCATAACCGGCATGTAGACCTCGGTAATGACGATAAGCACGAAGTAGGATACAGTAATCGGCACGAGCAACATAAGTTATGGCGCCTTCATCTCTGTTTCTTACATACTGAAGGTAATCTAATCTCCTCAGCTTAACCCTTGATGGGATATAAAAGAACATGTTCTTCTCTATTTTGTTTTTTAAATAATTTGAACTGATTACATTGTAATATATATTCAGAATGTTTTTTAACTTTTTATTGACCTCACAACATATAAACGCATTTATTCGAACTCAAAATATCTAAAGAAAATTTAACACCACCGTATCCATATGCATTATTAATCTCATTGAATGTTGCTTCAAGTTTGCAACTAAAACTATATAGTTAAATTTCCTTTGATGATATGAATTATTTATCAGTAACACCCCCATATTGACACCAAGGAGCACCATCATCTTCATTCATCTACTCATAGTTGTGTCTAGTTGGGTTGAGTGGGATTTAGATATAATCTCACTGCCAAGTGTACAAATACTATGTGTATGAATTAATCAAGTAGTGTGGTCCAAATACCTTGTAATTATAAAATGTTACATCATTTCCTCCTTTTTAATTTTATTTTAAAGAAATGATTGAAAGGCTGACTTGGCAAAGTTATTAATAAAACCAGAGAATAAATCTGATTTTAGATTTGTATACAACACGTGACGGACCAATTCTTGAATGTGAAGGATACACTAAGTCTTGTTATATTGCATTGGACCACCAAATGCGAACCTTGATGCTGCTCAATTCTAAACTTTGACCAGTTACTAAGTCCAACTTTGAGATTATTTATTTATGGATAAAGTATATAAATAGTCACTAAACTTTTCAGGTGCTTACATTTAGGTCTCCCAACTTTTGAAACTTGCAACACAATCATCAAACATTTAGTTCGTTTGCAATGTGGTCCCGACGTAACTGGCCGTTTCAATGCCGGTAAAAGAAGATGATGTGGCAAGTGAGAAAACCATTTGTAGCTATAAAAATTAGGGTAAAGTATATAATGGTCACTGGACTTTTCAAGTGCTTGCATTTAGGTCCTCAACTTTTAAAACTTGCAACACATTCATCAATTATATTCTAAACCCCAAAGTCCAAAATACTTCAATTACATTCTAAACCTCAAATTCCAAAATATTTCAATTATATGCTCAACCCCAAATTCATAATTCATTCTCAAAATCTGCCATATCAAATTAAACTTGAAGCAACAACCATAAACCCTCAAAATATAACCCTAAATGCTAAATTTCCCCACCAATTAACCCAATATAATCAACAACAACAAAATCCACAAACAAACCACCAAAATCACTCGCTCAAGCCTTTTTCCTCTCTCCATAGTTCTCATCTTCCTTAGCAAACCAACGATAACAATATGTGAATGTGGATTCAATGGGAGATCATACCAAACAAAGAAATTACAATTTCTCCTAGAACACCCATAATTAACGCATCCAAAGAATCTCCTTCCAGCATTCTTATTCGTCTAAGATGTGCGTAAAATAGCTGACATTCCACAAAAACAAGTTGGGATTGCATTTGGTGGTGTATTTATTGCTTGCAATTGTTGACCAAACAAAGAGAAGAAGAGGAAATTTGTTTTTTAGGGTTTAAGGCTTCAATTTGGGGGTTCGGGTTTGCTATTTTTAGTTTGATTCAATTGAGTTTTTATTTAGCTACAAACGGTTTCCTCACGTGCCACGTCATCTTCTTCGAACAACAGTGAAACGACCAGTTACGTCGAAGACCATATTGTAAACGAATTAAATGTAAAAAAATATTATTATTTTAAAAAAATATATTCTCACGTTTGATTTGATATGATTCTCATGAATAATTTTATTATGAACAAATATATTTTTCCACTCAAATTGAGAATGCCATACTCACTAATTTCGTAAGTATTGCATGATCAAATTCATATTTTAATGAAAAGGAGGGACTAAAATCAGAATTACACCTCTCACTAATAACGAAGATATCAATAAAGCAAGAATTCAGTGGGTATTTTTTTTTTTCTGGTCGGAGATTTCAATTAACTACAAAACATAATACGATACGACAGATGGAAAGACGAAGATAGAGAAAGACTGAGTTTTCGAAGTCTTGGATACTCTTATAGCAATCCCCATTTACAAAAAGCAACTCCTTTTTCAAAATTCTGTTTTGCGGTGATCTTTCTTCTTCGATTCAACTATAATTGAGATTTTTTTAGAAACAGAGAGTAGTGTAGGGTTTTAACTTTTCAGAGTTTTATGGACACGTCTCCGCTTCCAAGCACTCAAAATCTCCACTTCTCCCATACCCATCATTAAATCCCCTTTCCTTGGGATCTTCGATCACTGCTTTCGTCAATTGATTCGATTGGTAAGTCATCTGACATTTCTTTTCTTTAGATCCATCATAATTTTTATATCTTAAAATTACTCCATTGAACTGTTTAGCTACTTGATTTAGCTTTCTTTATTTTAATTGTTCAGCAAAAATAATTGCAGGTTATTGTTTTTAAAAAATGGCACTGAAGAGTCCAGCTGGTGGTAGAACAAGGAGTTGGGTTCAGATGTTTATTGTTTTTGGATTATGTTGTTTTTTCTACATCTTAGGAGCGTGGCAAAGGAGCGGTTTCGGTAAAGGGGATAGCATAGCTTTAGAGATAACTAAACAGGGTGCCGATTGCAATATAATCCCTTCGTTGAACTTCGAAACCCATCACGCCGGCGATGTTGGGAACTCCGATGAATACGAAAAGCCCAAATCTTTTAAGCCGTGTCCTCCTCGTTACGTCGATTACACGCCTTGCCAAGATCAGAAGCGTGCCATGACTTTCCCTAGGGGCAACATGGTATATCGCGAGAGGCATTGTCCCAGGGAGGAAGAGAAATTGCATTGTCTTGTTCCGGCACCGAAAGGATACGTGACTCCGTTTCCCTGGCCTAAGAGTCGAGATTATGTGCCTTATGCTAATGCCCCCTATAAGGCCTTGACGGTCGAGAAGGCTATTCAGAATTGGATCCAATACGAGGGTAATGTGTTTAGGTTCCCCGGTGGAGGAACACAGTTTCCGCAAGGGGCGGATAAGTATATCGATCAGCTTGCTGATGTGATTCCCATTACTAATGGAACAGTTAGGACTGCACTTGATACTGGTTGTGGGGTATGTTATGTTGTCTTGCTCTTCAAAGTTTTATTTTTCAGCTGGCCTAATGATTTGTAATGGTAGAATGCATTTGTCTTTGCATGGATCTTAAAATTGGTTATTTATGTTTAGGTTGCGAGTTGGGGTGCGTACCTATGGAGTAGGAATGTCCTTACCATGTCGTTTGCACCTAGAGATTCACATCAAGCACAGGTTCAATTTGCCCTTGAAAGAGGTGTACCTGCTGTTATTGGTGTTCTTGGGACCATAAAGATGCCATATCCATATAGAGCTTTTGATATGGCTCACTGTTCTCGTTGCTTGATTCCATGGGGAGCAAATGGTGAGTTATATACTGAAATCGAGCTTTCCTATGTTTAAGCATGATTAGTTTGGTATTAGTGTAGATTTTATCCTTTGAGGTGTTGTTTTATTGAAGATTTCTCGTAGCAGGAGTTGACAGATTGATGAATGATTATGGATTTGTCTGATTGTAGATGGGAAGTATTTGAGGGAGGTTGATCGTGTTCTTAGACCAGGTGGTTACTGGATACTTTCAGGTCCTCCAATCAATTGGAGGAACAATTATGAAGCATGGCGGCGTCCCAAGGAGGAACTTGAAGAGGAACAACAAAAGATTGAGGATGCTGCCAAACTCCTTTGCTGGGAGAAGAAGTATGAGAAGGGTGAAATTGCCATTTGGCGAAAGAGTGTCAATGATAATTCTTGTCACAATAGACATGATGATTCTCAAGTTAATTTCTGCCAAGCTGGAGAGGCTAATGATGTCTGGTATGAGCTGTGCTTGATACTTCTTTACAAATTGCTGCGAAAACAGTATTCCACATCCTTGATAAGAGAACTTCTGGAATTAGTTAAATTGCATTATGGAGTTTTGCCTCTGCCTTGATAATGTTTAAAGTTTGAATGCTAATCAGCTTCACATCACTTCATTCATATCCAGTTAATCTTGTTAATTGTAATAAGAAATTGCCTCAATTGAAGTCGGAACCTGCAAATCATGTCTCCTGACTTAAGGAGCCTGTATTTTCAGGTCTATTAGTTCGCCATTTCATTAAGCTTTAAACAATCATGTCACCTGTATTTGGGATCTCTAACCTATAAGTGTCTGGGTTACCGTTAAAAACCAATTTATTTAGATATATTTACGGTTTATGTTGCCAATAATTAATTTTTTAAAACTGGAATTTCATTTTATATAATCTTCTTTTGTGGTGGTGGCTAGGTACAAGAAAATGGATGAGTGCATTACTCCCTATCCAGATGAAGTTGCTGGAGGGGAACTGAAGCCATTCCCAGAGAGGTTATATGCTGCCCCTCCTAGGATTGCTAGTGGAAGTGTACCCGGAGTTTCTGTTGAGACTTATCAAGAGGACAATATTATTTGGAAGAAACATGTCAGTGCCTATAAGAAGATCATTAGACTTATCGACTCTGGGAGGTATCGTAATATTATGGATATGAATGCTGGGTTGGGAGGATTTGCTGCAGCTCTCGACTCTCCCAAATTGTGGGTTATGAATGTGATGCCTACTATAGCAGAGAAAGATACCCTGGGTGTGATATACGAGCGAGGATTAATTGGCATCTATCATGACTGGTAAGGCTTACTAAAATTTTGGCCTTGTTTATAGTTTGTGTTGTAATGAAGTGTTCTTTTCTGTTCTACGGTATTGAATATACTAATGGTGGTTCTGCCAGTACTACTATTTGACTTCCCTGGCGGTGATGTCCAATAAATGCTTGCGTAATATTAAAGTAACGTTGATTGTATTGTTCGAATTGTTTCATTTTGTCGACTTTCACTGGTTCAGGTGTGAGGCTTTCTCCACATACCCAAGGACTTATGATCTCATACATGCAAATTTTCTATTCAGTTTGTACAAGGACAAGTAAGTATCCATAGTTCAATGTGCATTCCAATACTTCTCAGAACTCTAGTATTTCCATTCTCGTTTTTTCCCGAATAGTTGTCGCTTGTGTATTGATGGTACAATTAAGTTTCCTTTTAGATTTGTACTTCGGTTGGACTATATGACAATGAAAAAAAATGTACAGCTTAGGACTTTAATTTATGCATGATACTGGAAAATTCAATCGATGTTATATTTGGATTTTCAAGGCTAGAATCCTCCTGTGTAAACCCACTCATCACTTATTCTTTGGTACGAGCTCACCATTGTTAAGGTCTATTTGGCATTTTATATCTTATCCTGAACTTTACATTTATTTGAATGCATGCACAGGTGTAATATAGAGGACATTCTATTGGAGATGGACCGAATTCTTCGTCCAGAAGGTGCCGCTATATTCCGTGATGAAGTCGACGTTCTAATCAAAGTGAAGAAGATAACAGCAAGAATGAGGTGGGACACTAAGATGGTCGACCATGAAGATGGCCCTTTGGTCCCTGAGAAGGTATTGGTTGTAGTAAAGCAATACTGGACCGTGGGGGGAAACACGACATCCCCACATTGAGCAGAAGAGGATGGTAAAACTTAAATCGTGGAATGAACAGAATTTGGCAATGCGCTCATACAAGGTGGTGGCATGAATTTATGATTTCCGGCCTGAAAATTTTCGTCACCAGGATGGTTTCAGTGTAGGAGGCAATGAACTATGGATCAGCCTGTGTTCATTTGTATTAATTTATTTACCGACCGGTATAATAGCTATAGAACTCCAAAGTTCTATGATTATTGAATTTAATCCTATTTTTTATTATAATCTTTGCATTTTGAAATCATTTCGAAGGAAATCTGGGAAGTTCTGGAATTGACTAGCTGAGACGAAGGATCTATTGAAGCAGTGTTTTTAGGCCAGATACCGATAAATTTTCGCGTCATTATTGTCCCTTCCAAGAATTCCCGGTAAATAAGAGACTTTATCTGTCTCTTAATCTCCGTAGGATTCGCGAGGAACTGTGACTGCAAATGCTTTGTAACCTCAGCTGTTACATTGTTGTGATCTAGCACCCTCCTTGACTACTGATCCTAACTATTGCAGCTTTAATCTCTGGCTTCCTGCCCTCCTTCACACTTCGTCTAGTCTCCTGCTTTTCGAACTCCGTTTCTTTTCGTGCAGCCACCTTTCTTATCTTTACCTTGTAAAATTTTCTTGTGAACTTTTCGTTGACAAAAAATGTGTCATCCTCATCAATATCCTTACTCCTAGGTTCTTTCCTAGTAACATCCTTTCCCTTCACACATGCTATCGATTGCAAGCTTTCTGTATTTGTATTTTTCATCCAAGAGCCGTTGAATGTTCAACAGGATCTTTCAATCTTTCTGTATCAGTAACTAGCTGTTTACCCGTTTCTCTGAAGTGTGATGACATCACATCTCGTATCAGTAACAGACCATTAGAAAGTCTTCTAAACAAAGTGTACATTCTACCAAAGTCTTCATGTCTGTCTTCAAGAAGCATATTTACCAAGCCAGAGTTCTCTATGTGGACTAATCTCATCATGTGGTTACCAATCATCACCTCCACAACCACATTAGTAATCTTGACTTCAGTTTTGGCATCCAAATAATGAACAACTCTCTCGATTTATTTGTTTAGACGAATCTCCACTTTCTTTAGATATTCCCCACAATCACAACACTCAATATATTTATGAGATTCACCCTTATAGAACTCAGCAGAAATTTCAAGAAATGGCTTCTCAAAGTCCTCCTAGTAAACAGAACATCCTAAATTCATAAGCATCTTGACTGCATTCCTCATCGGCCCCCATCGATACTTCACCGGTTCGCTCTCTATGCACTAGTTCAAGAAGTGAGCTAAGAAGTCTTGAATGAATTTCGCCGGAACGTATAATATTATCCCTCCACAAGTTAAGTCCCAGATCATAGACGGGTTCTATTGGTATTTGGAACATAAGTGTTGTCCATGTACATCAATATTTCTCTAATCATTTGCATGGCCTTGCTGTGGTCATTCCATTTCCTGTTCAGATCTTCAAGAAACAAATCACCTTGAACAGCCTCAAGAGAGATCGATATTTCTTTGAGTAACGCACTCAGTCCAGTGTAAAGCTTCTCACCAAATTTGTGCAAAACCTTGTTGTATGCGTTCCTGCATTCATATCAAAAGGCGAATATCATAAAGAAAAGATTTAAACTTGCGCAGCTCGTGAAAAAAAAAGCTGTCACACCCCCAACCCGTATCCGACCCGAATACGAATTCGATGTGTCATATTGACTTTTTAAATCCTTTACTTTTAAAAGATAGCTAAAAATTTAAATATTCATTTGTATAAAAATGGTAGAACCTTTGATCAAAAGTAAATAGATAGAATTCATCTTAATTTGAAAATAGAAACTCAATAAATTACATAAATATAATAGTGTTTTTTTACAAAAATAATCAGAGCATGTGCCATTCAACTTTTAATTACATGCCAACACATTTAATACAACAAAAAATGACATATTGTGTAAATTACTTCTGATATGATCTTCTTGTAGAGATATGTTGTCTTTGACTGATCCTAGCTTTACTCTTCTTGCTTCTTTGAACCTACGTGTGAAACACTCACATGCTAAGTCGTTGACTTAGTGAGGCATATAAAGCATAAATAAAACATTAAAACATGTAATCATATACTTAACTTCTATAAACTTCATAGGGTACATAAACCATCATACATTACACCAATCAATAACATATAATATCATGCAATGTTTATTCATTTTATTTCTTTTAATAGCCCATGGTACATTATTGAGAACTTAAGGTATGTGAGTGCATTGAGGTTGTGCACTAATGTTGTCACCACAACTCGTATAAATTGCACCGAAGTGCCGCGTAAAATATGCACCGAAGTGCCACGTAGAAATGTCCCGAAGGACCACATAGTATTGTCCTAAAGGACCGCACAGAAATTTCCCAAAAGACCACGTAGAATTGTCCCGAAGGACCGCATAGAACTCTCGACTCTTGGCATGCCAATTATAACTTTAGCTCTCATATCACATACTTATGGGCTTTATCATTTACACAATTTACATATCTTGTATCACATAGACATATAATCACATAGGTTATGGTCACATAGCTTATATCACATTTTCATGTAATCACATAAATCAATGTCACATAGTTTATATCACATAGATCATGTAACACGTAAGATTAAATGTAACACATAGATTATGTAGAACATTGTATATAACACTTAGACATATGCTTGTATTCATGTACACATAGAAACCATATCAACAATATACTAGTATTCATGAAGTCATGAAATCAAAACATTGGAAATAGACTCATCGCAAGTCTTATTTCCATATAATCATATTTTATAGTAATATGCACTCACCTTAGCCTCACTTAGTCAAGCAAAACACTTAGCACTCTTGATTGACCTTATAACTTTGAATCGTCTTGAATTTGCTTTCGTTCAATATCTACACAGATATATGATCAATATGAATATCGGAATTCGAATCACTAATAATCGATCATTAATAACATAAACCAAAAGAAACACTTTAATTCACAATTTCATTCTGAATAGTATCGGTACCCCAGGTCCAGTACCGATACTTCCTCACTATGGTATCGATACTATACTTCAGTATCGATACCCATTTTACACTCTGGAATTTCATTTCCAAAAATGGTACCGATACTTGTCCATTGATATCGATACCCTTGGTATCGATGCTACTCCTTCGGTATCGATTCTGTTTAAAGGATTCATACATTTTTACCTTATGGTATCGATATTGTTTAAAGGATTCATACATTTTTACCTTATGGTATCGATATTGTTCTTCTAGTATCGATACCCAAATCCAACTTTCATCCAATTTTGCGTTGAAGTATCGGTACTGTTTATCCAATACCGATACCCCTTGCCCAGAATTTACTCATTTCAACCCAAAATTTACCAAAACTCAGCTAAATTTCCCACTTTACTCTCATTTTAAGCCTTTAAACTCAACTACACTTATTCAAATCAACTTATATTACTTTAACACATCTAAACATCCAATATCTGACTAGAAAACTTGGAACCCAAAATCATACCAATTAATCAGCATGTCCAAAATCCATATCTAACACTTTAGATTTCTTATTCCAGTTTATGACAAATCAAATATGACTTCAAAATCCATTTAATAGCTCTTTCTCATCAATTCACTCAAAAAAAACCCTTTACCAAGAATCAAAACCAAATCAAAATTACAAGATATGACAACTTAAAGATCCCTAACCTTAACTATGGAGTCACTGTGGAGAGGAGGAAGAAAGGATGAAGAAAGATTCTAGATTTCTCTGATTTTTAACTCTTTCTTCTCTACTCCACATGTTATATACACACCAAAGAATGAATTTTAAATTCATTTCCTTGACTAACGACCATTATGCTCCTTCCTCTTCCAATCTTTGCCAAACAATCCTACACCAAGAAATTTCAATTATGTCCCTAAATTTTTTAATTTATCTACTATAATCACGAAATTTTAAAATCTTACTTTTTGATCACTAGTGTAACACCCCCAACCCGTACCCGACCCGGATATGAGTCAGAGATACTACATTGACTTTAAAACACAACTTTTAACAAATAATAGCAAAATATTTGAACTTATATTAAGAAAATACGATAATATACATATTGTAATATAAGTTTACCAAAATATTCAGAGCATACACAACTTAACCCTTTAATTACATGCCAACTGCCATTTATATAACAAAATGACCTACTGATTAAGTTGCTTCTGATCTGGTGGTTGCAGGAGTAATGCTGTCAAGCTGCTTAACCTGTCTCGTCTACTTTCTCGGATCCTACGTGTGAAACACTGACACGCTAAGTCATCGACTTAGTGAGGCAATAATAATAACAAGGCAATGTAATGAAAATGTCATGATCATATGAAATAAGATGCAAACATGTACTTAATCAATGTAGTCTACATCATCAATATCCATACATGTAAGCGTATGACTTTAACATTCATGAATTTGTATTAATAAGTTTATTGGCCCATGATATCATACTGAGAACCTAAGGTATCTGAGTAATGTGAGGTTGTGCACTATGCTGTCACCACAGCTCGTATAAATGCACCGAAGTGCCGCGTAGAATTGCACCGTAGTGCCATATAATGATGTCCATAAGGACCACATATAATTCCTTAAGAATCATATACATATACTAGGGATCAAGTATGTGTCTTTCCAAGACTTCACACATGTTCCACAGAATATATATATATCCCGAAGGACCGCGTAGAATTGCACCGTAGTGCCATATAATGATGTCCATAAGGACCACATAGAATTCCTTAAGAATCATATACATATACTAGGGATCAAGTATGTGTCTTTCAAGACTTCACACATGTTCCAAAGAATATACATATGTCCCGAAGGACCGCGTAGACCCTCTACCCTTGGCATGCCAACTATACCTATAGTTCTCATCTACATAACATGGGCTTTTACATTTCACGTAGTCTATATCGCGTAGACATGTAAATTCTTACCTTTTCACATAGCTCATAACTTTTCCCACATAGTCATGTCATATAATGCATTTTATATGAACTCATGTCATGTCTCATAATACAGAATATGCTCATGTACCAAGATATAAAATCTAGACTTATCACAAGTCTAGAATGGAGTATATTTCTATAATTATGCTATGCATATGCACTCACCTATATTTCTTTGCCTTTTCCTCGATCGATCCTACTTGTAGATTGTTCTCGAACTCGTGTAGGCTCAGTATCTACATAATAATTCAATGATACTTATCAGTATACTAATTAATATATTCTAAACTATCATTCCTTAGACTCATAGAAAAGCCAATTTCATCCTTTAATGAGGGTATGCATCGATGCACTACTGATGCATCGGTGCATAAAATGCATTCGATGTTGTATTATTACTGGGATGCATCGATGCATGACTTATGCATCGATGCACTAATTGCATTCGATGTTTCTATTTTAAAAGAGTGCATCGATGCATTACTAATGCATCGATACACCTTCAAATAATTTCTGGGTTTTAAACTTTATGCATCGATGCACTATGAATATGCATCGATGCACTCTGCCCAGAATCCTCTTTTATGCCCGAAAATCCACTCTTTTCAGCTTAATACTTCATATATCATCCTCTTTCTTATTTCCTAACTTGCATACTCTTACTTAAGCTAATTATTATCCATTAAATATTTCTAAAACTTAGAAATCTAATTCTCCATGTAGAATTTAAGAATCTAACCCAAATTCCAACATGTTCTAATTTGAATTCTAACACCTCATACTTCTTAGTTAGCTTATTGACAAGTCAAAAATCTTATTCAAACTTCAAAAACTCATCCATATCAAAATTTCATCTAAAAACTCATTTTCCAAATCTATCTCTAAAACACTTATCTTGTTGTCTTAATGTCATATAAGCTTTCCTTTAGCTTATATAACATCCAAACTTCAATTTCCAAGCTAAAAATCAAAGGAACTACCAAGGTTCAGATTCTTACCTTTACTTGCAAGCTTCACGGTTGGAGAAGGAAGAGAAGAAGAGAAGAGTCTGGAATGCTTATCTCAAATGCCCACGTGATTTATAATATCACCCTAAGGAATATTTAATTATTTCATTTACTCAATTACTCTTTTGCCCTCTTAATTCCCCTTCTTTATAATTCAATCCTACACCAAATAACTCAAATAGATCATTACACTCTTCCATCATTTTACTTAAATCACCAAATGTTGAAACTTTGCAATTTAATCACTAACCCGGCATGGAGGATGTGGTATTTAGGATGTTACAAAAGCACTCCATAATCTAAATATAATGTCAGGAAATTGACATATGGTGAAATCAAATGGATGATAAACTCTTCATGAATATATAAAATAGAGGTGGAAAACTTTAAAGCACTTCAAAACTAAGGCCAGTAAGTTTTTGTTGTAAATCTCATGGATTGCACGTTGGAGAATGTTCCAGGTCTTTTCTGCATATCCGGAATCCACCCCGACCTGGTTCTTGAATGCTGCCATCTGGAAATTCTATTTCTTTTGGTTTCCTTTCCAATCTACCTTTTTCTTTTGCTTCAAATCTTGAAACCCGAATGGAGCAAGAAAAAGTCGTCCCAAAACAAAGAGAAAACTGATAAACCAACGATCAATTGAAAAGAAGTATGTACGTATATGGGCGGGGACTAGGGATTGACCAATGAATTCTTTTGTTGGGATTGGGGTTTGAAGATTGAAAGATTAACTCTTGATTACTTATATAGAAAAGGAAAGATATAAACAGCAGAGAAAGCGATGAAAATGAAAAATGAAGCAGCTATTTATTATTACGTTCACAAAGCGACGATGAAAGCTGATTAAAAGCAATTTTTGGAAATATTTCAAGAAGAATGGGATCTTGTATGTAAGAGCTGAACCCTAAACCATTATAACTAGAAAACAAGAATGAGTTGAGTTGAGTTGAATTGAATTGAATTGAGTTAGCAAACAAATTGAAATTGCAGCTGAGCTAACAACTTAAAACCAGTGTAACAATAGATTCATCTCTCCAACAAATTTAATCATTTATTACAGTTTTTTCTGCCACCTTACAGTCTTTTAAGATATGGATTATTATTTTCCCGATGCACATTGCAAAAGGGACGTGTCCTCGTTTAAGAAGAAAGGTTATCGTTGGAAGGGCTTCATGCATGCAATCCCATAGGAAAAAAATTAATAGGGGTGATGTTTTGCGTTCCACGTCATGAACCAATCGAGTGGGTACCAACATTAGGATAACTCCTATTAGGGTTCTTTAGCTTGCAAGGAGGTGATGTTAAATTTAGTGGAAGATAAAGGACCTTCAACCATTCCTCTTGGTGGTCCTACCAGTTATCCTCCCAGAGGCGCGCCACAGTTCCATCCCTTACTAATCAACGTATACCTTTGCTTAACAAATCTGAAATCTTCCTCAGTGCTTTCAAGGTAGAGGACACATCCGAATTTTGTGTTCCCGAACCAATTCTGACTGTTTATATATTTTGTAAGACTTTGGCCCAAAGGCTTTCACTTTCATTCATGATACACCCGCCTAGTTCAATATGAAGTATTCGCATTATCTACACCCCTAATGTAAATAAGTAAAGTTTTATAAAAGAAACGAAAAAAAGTGTAACGTCAAAAATAAACACTTAAGTATTAGTGACATATTTAGAGCTAATATAAGGTACACTGAGTAATTTTTCTCTGTGGATAAATCTTGAACTTGTTATAATAGGAGTAAACTCATAACATACAACTAATCTTTTTTCCAAACGAGATTTGTTATAGATTAATAATTTAATCAATATATCTCGAGATATTAATAAGTGCTCTAGAAAGATGATATAATATTTTTCATAGAATGTGGTTAATCTTTCATACCTAGTGATTTCATTAACTCAATATATATTACCTGAATCAAGACTATGAAGTCATTAAGAGCATTTAATAAACTCAACCTCTTAAATTTAAATTTAACGAATTTATCAATTTCATCTCAACATGACCACCTAAATCAAGGGATATGGACACAGTAAGAGCAAGAAACTCAACCTTATACATTGATGAATTCATCAAATCTGTCTCACAGTGACCACCCAAAACCTAAGATATAAACTGGTTAAAAACATTTAGTGGCTCATCCTATAAATTTGATGAATTTATCAAGTATGTCTCAATAGAACCACTCAAACCTTGGCCTATGAATTCACTAGGAGAAGCTACTAGTTCACCCTATAAATTCAGTAAATTTATCAAGTTTGTCACACCTTGATTCCGAGCTTAAATTAAGTGAAATTTATATTCTACTAAACCTAATTGGCACAATTACAAAATTTGGAGACTCAATTGAATGGAAATTAAAATTTTCACAAACCAAATTGAACAAAGTCAAAGCCAGATAACCGAATCAGAAAGAATAAAGATTGTTTTGAACAAAGTTTAAAGTTTGAGTTTCAATATGAGAACTGTATGATGAGTAAAGGACTTGCTCTATGATTTTTCGCATTTTGGGTGATAATGGGAAAATAAAAATGTGAAGATAGAAAACCGTCTGTGGATGCTCTTAAAATCGTGTCTTAGTGTCGTCTACCAATCTTAATAGTTAAGAGATAAGTTGTCGAGTTCACGAATCATATATGTATATATATAAACACTCATTATCAAATTATTAATTTTTTTTTAATAAATATTACTTTATATTCAATTGAATTTATTAAAAAATAATAATAATAATAATAATATCATCCGCTTTTTCCAAATATGCTAAGCACGTTATTTTGTTAGAAGAGCTTCTAAATAATTTTTGGGTTTTTTCTTTTGAATCCATTTCACCTACACTAATAGTATTTTGTAATAAATCTTATATAGCTTTCTTTCAAAAAAATTTCTTCACAATCGTTTGTTTGTCTGTCTTTCACAAGTGAAACTCCGACTGTTGTCCTTTGTTCGTTATTGTTGTCTGAGACCATTATCTGTTTCATCTTTTCTCTTCCTCTTTTCGAAAGAAAATGAAAAGTTCATAAAGAAATAAACAAAATAAGAGAACACAGATATTGTTTTAAATATAGAAAAGAAACAATCTTTATATAGGGATATCATAAAAACAAGATCATCCGAAGAACAATTATTTAGTAACTCAAATCTCTCAATCATTTCCCAACCATTTGGTTTACATCTCTCAACCGACCCTATCAATATTTGCTTTATCTAAGGTTGTAAAGACCAATTGATGTCAATTGTTGTACAAGTTTAGGGCTGGAGTTTTTTTGGACCAAAGCAACGAAGGTTAAATTAATGCCTTGATGGAGACTAGCTTCTCTAGAGGCTAACTTAACGAAGCTGCAAATTCTCTTCTTATCTTTCGGAAAACAATGGAGGTAACCCATCGGGTCCGGGATCCTTGTAAGGATTGAACGACCAGACGGTCTTCATAAGGCAAAGGTCTTGTTCTTGGCTTAAAATTTCACGATAATCTCTCGTTAAAGTTTGATAAATTTCACGATATTTATTGTGATTATGCTCTGTTTTCTTCCAATTCTGCTCGATGATATCAGTTCCTATGTATTCCTTCTTTGTATGTGTAAACTCAAAATGTATAAATTCCACACAAACTACCAACTTATGAAATTGCATAGTACTGCAAATGGAGGATTCCAAAAGTGTGCATAAACATAAATACTATATGAAAAACTGGGAATATATAATTTATATAATCCCATTGATTGTAATGAAATTACTACACCAGCCAACATCCCAACAGAAAAACAACCTCCCACTACTTATTTCCCTCCATTTCAACACAATTCCAAGAAAAAATTTAGGGATGAAATAAAGAACACCCCATATAACTCTAAAGCCAATGTGTTTTGCTACTTCGAATTATTAAACCTATTCCTCTGTGTTACTTGCTGCAACTTCGGAAGACAAATGGAATGGAAGGCACTTTGAATTAAGTTTGTAAAAAGAGATGAGACATCCTATCAATAAAAATGATCTATTGGAACACCGAACAAGGGGGGAATTACCATCAGTAAGAATTCGGACTTGTGTGTGTTAAAGGAGAATCCAATCATGTAATCCTCGGAAAAGTACATCTCTTAGCATCCCATCACCGCACAATTGTACACAAAGTTACCCGATCGCTTTCTGGCTAGTAAGTCCCATTGTGGAGGCCCTTTGCTCGGGACCCACGAATTCAGCTCTATAAAACTTCCACCTGAGGCGGTTGGACCGCCAATCACTATAAGGCGATCACCGCATGCTCTGAATGCAAGACCCCAACCATTCATTGAAACCGCTCTTTCGGGCAATCTTCCAATAGTCAACCATGATTTTCTCTCCTTATCGTACTTCCTTACCTCCATGTCAGCATGTTCGGCAGCATAAAGTTCGTTGTTTACTACTGCAACCAGAGGGGGTGCCCCAGCTGCCGCAGGCTTCTCAGCCTCACCATCCATCCCACTCCTTCGAGGAGACATGTTAGGAATTTGAGTCCATTTTTTTAACTCTAAATCATACTCCTCCCCACAAGAGAGAACCCTTGAATCATTCCCCACTCCACCAGTTCCCCCAATTACATAGAATTTCTTATCCATGAATACCCCACTACACATCTTCCTTGGGGTATTCATGCTTGGGAGAGTCTCCCATTTTCGGGTCTCAGAATTGTACATTTCTGCAGAGCTCAGGATATTACCCTGAGAATCACAGCCTCCGGCTAAAATTGCAATCTCTCCAAGACTAGCTGACCCAAACAAACACCTTGGAGAATTCATATTGGTCCCAAAAGTCCATGAGTTAGTCAAAATACTATATCTATATATCACTTGAGAAGTAACTTCCTTCCCAAATACAAGTAACTCGGTTCCCACGGCCAAGGATTCCTTGTCCGAATAAGTGAAACATTCATTAGGAGGCATCCTTGGCAAATGCATCCACTTGCGCTGAATCGGATCAAATGCCTCCCACTGGAGGAGATCACAAGAAAAGTAAACCCAATGTTCGGTAACACCCTTCTGCCTCCTTGACTTATAGATCTCACCGCTCCTGATTATGGATCGAAAACTCCTATTCAAAGATGCGATGGAACCATAATCAGACCTCGAGCACTTGATCAGACAATTGATGGAGTTGTCTCTCCCAATTGGTTGGATTAACACATCCAAATCCGAACAAGAATCATATTGCCTACCATCGTCGCTGGAAGAATCATCAGACGAGCGCTTAGACAACTTGGTTTCTGGACAACTATCATCAGATTCAACGATTTCTAGTGGACGTTTCCCATTGTAGGTGTAAGGCCAGCTGGTTTCTTGTTGGCAGGAGCTTGCCAACACGAAACAAGAATCGCAGGATCGATCCTCCAACATCATTCAATCGCTCCTCGACCAACTTCAAATGGCAAGATCCCCAAAAAAAATAACAATAGCAAATTACAAATCACTGTAGGAACCGCAAGATTCTTGCGCCCAGCAATTCAACCCATGCAAGAATAAAAAATATTCAATTATTGAAAAAGAAAAAACATAAAGGAAAAAAATTAAATCTAGTTAAAACCAAACAGAAAACTGGATTAAATAAAAAGACGATCGAAGTTGATTTAAAAAAAATCAGAAGCGGTTTTTCAGAAAAAGAAAGGAAAATAGAATTCACGATCAAACAAGCTGAAGAAAAAGAAGTACCAGATCTCAGAAGTTCAAAGAATATAAACATGAACCCGAACCGATGGGAAAAAACAGCTAGATTCAAAAGAAGAGAAGACAAATAAAAAAACGCGGATTGGATCTCTATTGATAGTTTCACTATATCTCATTGCAGCAAAAACAAAGTGATTAAAAACTTCAAAAAAATAATGAAACAAAAAAAAAGGAAATAAGTTACAGATAAGCATAAGCAACACAAATAACAAGAATTAACAATAATGTTGTGAGAGACTTACTGATTGGATAACAAGGAGGAATTGGGAAGGAAGAAAAAACTGGGTATGGATTTGTTTTTATTTATTAAGACACTCAATCAAAATCTCCGTTTTGATTTTTCTTTTGTTGTTGTTGTGGTGCGTATTTTGGGTTTTTGTTTTCCCCTTTAATAGGTTATCTCTTTCAACTCCATAATGCTAAGCCGCCGGTTTATCCTTTGGATTCTCTCTGCAAATCACAGCCAGGGAGCTTTGGTTTTAGCTCAGCAGTACTCCAACCCCCACAAGAACATAAATAAATAGTTGATTTATTTGTGATAAAATGATTAAAGATATATGTTAATAGTCGAAAAGAATATTATTTCTTTTGAAGGTAAATAAATATATATATCTTAAGCGATCTCATTAATAAAATAAAATTTATTTTTTGAGATTTTAAATTTTAATATTATATCTATAAAATATATATAGGTTATTATCAATGAATTAAAAAGATTTATTTGTAAATTATGAATATTTTGATTTTGTTTTGTTAAATGTCTTTTTATAAGAAATAAGGGTTAACCTATTGATTTTTGGACATTCATTTAATAAAAGAAAATGTTTGGATTCGCGGTAAGAAAGCGCCGCGGTGGTTAAGGGGAGGGCATGGGTGAAAGCCGGTTGAGACACGTGCTGATTGGGGAGGGAATGGGTGAAAGCCGGTTGAGACACGTGCTGATTGGGTCAATGAATATGAATAGAATATAAAAGTGATAAACAATCCTCTCTTTATTTTTGATTTCGACAGGGAATTAACACTCCGTTACGTCGTTACCGTCGTAAGTTGTAATTTATTGGCAGCTTCCGTTAGGCGGAGTTTTAACTTTTGGAGGATAAAAATCTAGTCAGTAATTATCTAATTGACCGGTCAAACCATACATTTAACATTATCCATCACAATCATAATTATCTATCGATTTAATTTTTATTTTAATGACGATTGTGACTATACTTTAAGAATATAATTAAATTGTTTTAAGTTTTCCCTATTTTTCTTCTTTTTCTTAATTTACGTTATTTTTTTTCTTATTTATTTTTGCGATCAATGACGATACTAATTTTAATGTTAGTTTTTAAATATCGATATTCATTATTTTTTATTTGCTTTATTATAACGTTTATATATTTTTATTTTAATAATTTTGCCTATGACACATTTTCTTATGTCTTTATGGCATATTTTCGGTCGTTTGGTCGTTGTTTTTGTTTATCTTTTTTTCAGAGTTGGATTTGACATCACCACGATTGATCTAGATGGTGCTTATTTGTTATGATGGTGATATTTTCTGCTTTAGACCCTCTGAATGGATTTGAATACGTGATTTGTGTCTGTGAATATTATTTTCATGTAGCTCAATTCTGATTTGCAATTTATCGATGATATTTTAATAGCTCCATCTCCTTTTGTTGTTTGTTTGTCGATGCGATTAGATTTGTTCATATATATACCTTTTGTGCGAGTTTATTTGATTAGGTTTTTAAATATTTTTCTTGTATTGTCCTTATATAATCTTAAGTAGTTAGTTTTTTCGTATATAAAAAATATTTTTATTATATGTCTAACTTAATATTGTAATTATAAGTTTTTATTACAATTTAGATATGTTTTTATTTTTGAATAAGACTAACCTCTTATGTAAAAAAATATAAATAAATTTACCTTCCTACTTCTATAAGATTTGATTTTATCATACAACTATGAATTTTATTGAGTTCTACTACCGACTTTTATTTCTTATTATAATTTATCTCTCCATTTTAATGATTTGAAAATAAAATTTAATAACAATATATTCTTGCAAATATTTTAAGAAAATAAAATTTGAAATTTTCGCTTTAAGGAAGAAAAAAAAAACATCACAAACAGCCGTCATTGAAGCAAAGGCAAAAGGAATTGGTTTTATTCATTCATCAACTGCGGTTTGGTCTTAAGTAGCGCTGCTTATATTTGATTAACGAAAAAGAGAGAAAGGTACTTTGGGGCAATCCCCAGCCTGTACAATTTTGTTGTTAATCATAACCTCCGGCATCTATTTTTTTTAATTAATTACTGGTATTCGATCTATTAACCGACTAATCTAGATCGGATACTGTAGAGGCGAGAGCGACTCTCCCAACCTAGTTTATTCTATTAACAATAAAAAATTTTAAAATACAACTTATTAATATAAGATTAAAAAGTAAAAAAAAAATTAACTACAATTAAAATTTTGTCAAGAATATTACCTTTTAAATTGTACATAACAATATTTTCGGTTACAATAAAAATATTACATTTTCACAATTTTTTTACCTTCTTTATAATATTTTTAGTTATAAGCTATGAATTCTTGCAATATAATTTTTCAGTAGTAATCAAAATATAATAATATTTTGAATTAAAATTCGTTTTAAATTAGACGATTGTATAACAAAACTAGTATAAATTCCCACATTGTCAACAGCCCTGTGTTTTGTATGACCTGACCTGGCTTTTTGTTTTTTGAAGATGGAGGTGGTTTTAGGCTGATTTTCAATGGTCCAACACCTACTTTCTATTTTATTTTATCGCAATTCTCACATAAATGGTTTAGAAGCAGCCGCTATCGTAACCACATTTTCAACTTTTTGCTTAAATGTATGTACAGTGAATTAAGTCGTCATCAATGTACATAAATAAGATATTACTACTCGACCCAATTTATAAATCATAATCTTTATATGCTTATTAAGTCGTCATCAATGTACTTATGTACTCATACTAAAACACTTCCGATGATGTTGTTTTCTCATTACGTTTCACAAAACTTATAATATGTGAATGAATACACATTTTGAATGCTGAACTAACAAACTAAATATCACATAATAACTCAACTATATTATGTGAATTCTTATTACCTAAAATATAACAATCAAGGATGATATTCGAGTCACGAAACTTAAACACTTATATAAAACACACAAATATAATCTCATATATATATATATATATATATATATATATATATATATATATATATATATATATATATATATATATATATATATTATTTTATAATTAAAATAATTTACTCATTGAATTGATGTAGGTGTTATTTATTATTGAGTTAGATGCAAGTGATACTAAATCTAATATGAGGCTTTATTATTCATATACATTATTTTTTAATTATTTATAAAAGTATCACTCTTATAATATTATTTATCGGAATAGAATTATTTTGAAAAAGTGTGAATGATTTAACGTATTTTTGCATATACCGAACCTAAATCCTTGGGGGGAAAACGACTAAGTAAATAAAACTTTTACGTATGTGATAAAATCCTGAAAAGATGTATCCATTAAAGTGTCTGTTTCATGTATTTTAAGTAGTGCACAGGTTGATAAAGATCAGATGGAAAAAAAGAAAATAAAAAAAATTAAGGAAAAATAAATAAATTTTATCTTAAAAGAAAAAAATATGATACGTGTCAAAAACATGTTTTAGTAAGAGCTAGGCGATGACATGAATATACGATATGTGGACCTTATTTTCAACCAATTAATGGGTATATGTAAAGATGCTTTGAACACTTAAAAGAAATAATATCTAATTAAAGAACACGTGTTAAAGTGATATATATTGTATGCTTTGAACACTCAATTAATGACTTGTTGTCACTCGATTTAATTCATCCTAACATACGTCTTTGATATATATTGTATGTGTTCATTCTATTTGAATAAAATCTGTCTATTTTTCTTTGACAATTTTCTTATGTCCGATTTCACTCTCGATACATCTTTTATGTATCATGCATGTAAAAAAAGAACGCAACACATTAAACGCGTATTCTAAAACTACAATTGACATGACTCATCTTCGCTAATCTAATATTTAAAGGTGTTGTTTTGATGAAAAAATTTAGAGTTCTTTTTATAAATAATTAAAAATAATATATACAAATAGTAAAGCCTTATTTTAAATTTATTAATTGATAATTTAAATATTTATATCAATAGTTTATAAAAAACAATTAAACATTTGGTATTTACTAAATTTTAATGATTCGTTGTAGATGGAGCTCCGTTCCATTAGTTTCTTGATTGGTATCAATTCAATATAAATTTAATAATTTTATGAGTAACTTTTACATAAACAATAAATGATTTGTGTATAAAGTGGTCAGATTTTAGTGTACTGTTGCTTCGTGTGTTTGCGTGTATGACTTTGACGACGTCGTCGACGAGGACCGTGCAAGGAAACAAATCACGGAAAATTCTACCGTACGATATTTTTAATATACGATTAAAAAAAATATTATTGATTTTATTATTATTTTTTAATAAAATCTATAAAAAATTACATAAAACATTATTATTTATACATAAAACATCAATATTTTTTAATATTTCTAAAAAAATGCCTAATAATAGAAAAATAACAAAATCGATAGTACTTTGCAAGATATAATATATGTTAACAAAATCGATAAAACGTCAAATAATACCAAAAAATAATAAAAATAATAATATTTATGATTATTTTTTTATCTATTTTATTAAAAATAATAATAATACCAATAACATATTTTCTTAATCATATATTAAAACTGCCGTACGTAAAATTTTTCCAATAAACCTGTAGCTCGTGCGCCGCACGTTACTGCGTAATAGAGGATATTGCAAATTTATAAAGGAAAAGAAAAATTAAAACATGCGCCCACACGTGCCGGCTGCTAGGTTTTCATTGGTGTAAGCGCGCGACCACTGAAAGGCAAAGACACAGGTCTAGGGAAACGAGACACGTGTCGATGCACGTGGGTCGTTCTAAGTGGATGATCATTCCTTTAAAATAAAATAAATTAAAGCCCTTGTGCATATCTTTTGACTTTTTACACTTTCAACCACGGAAATTGTGATTTTTTTAAATTAAGGGCCGCGTCCACAATCTACACTATATATTATATTGGTAGAAAGACATTAAAGGCAGAAAATTATAACAGTACACATGGGAGAATGTCCGTCCCTGCCGGCTTTTGCTTTCAATTTAAA